GTAATGCTTATATACTGTATATATATATTATGGTATAATTATATTATATACAGTTAAAAGTCCAGTGTGTAACATTCAGCAGGATCTATTGTCAGAAATGGAATATAATATTCATAGGTATGTTTTCATTACTGTATAATCACCTCAAAACAAGAATCACCGTGTTTTTGCTATCTTAGAATGAGCCGGTATTTTTTATTTACACCACAGGTTTCTTTCCATGGAGTCTGCTATGTTGAACTGTCACGTTTCTACAGTAGACCAGAACAAACAAACCAAACACTGGCACTAGGCAGGGCGTTTTTCGCAGGTTTTGCATCCACCATACTTTCTCCTACACACTTCATGCTTCTCATTCCCAGGTCGTCAAATACAGACGCGGTGTTCAGTTAGTTACAATCTGCAACTTCACTGTTAGATGCCACTAAATCCTACGCATTAGACCTTTAAAAAAAATGGTTAGTAGTCTAAATGTATATTTTTAGGCCTAATGTATATTTTTTGGCTACTGATCAACCTTGTGATCAACCTCGTGGACTGCATCAGTAAATCTGTGTTTGTTGAAGAAAACAATGAACGTGCATTTATCCAAATTACTTAAACCAGGTTTCAGCTAGTCACATCTCCTCAGCCTGGCTTGGCCTATGTGACATTTATAAATCCAAGATGCTATGAGTGGACTAGGTTCAGTTATCCCAAATTTCTGAATTCTGCTTTTGTGAAACAGCCCTGTGGACTGTGATTGTAATGTTTTTTTTAATACATTTACAAACATTGCTTTATGTCTCTGCTGGGATCATAAAGGAAGCCCTATGAAAACAGTCTTGGTAGTTTAGTGGAAACTATGAAGTCAGTTCCGTTGTCAGTCAAGGATATGTTTGATTAATTGTCTTTTGAAACTTACACTTCATTTAAAGTGGGTTTGCTTGAGCTATCAGTTTTAATAGATGGAAACTGACTTGGGTGTTTATTTATTCTAGGCATTCCATGTTATTTGTCAGATGTAATCTGCCATCCTGACAAGTGTTCCGGAAGGGGGGGCGGATATGCTGTTGATTAGAATGGAAGCTGTCTTTTTTTTTCCTGTAATCATCTATCTTTAAAATGGCCTCAGTGCTCGTCCATTTGGTTAGTGGAGGTCGGCTGTTCAGTAGCCTCTGTTTGCTATCAGTTTTAATTCAATGCATGGATAAAAAAAAAACTTGCCAAAAAAATTACCCAACTCTTCTCTTTTTTTTAAAAAACTAACTCTTTTTTTTTTACTTCCCTTCTGGCACCTGAACCCACCTGTTGAGACAGGTTTTGTTCTGCTGGCTGGTTTAACTACATGCTGCCTCTTTGATCTGAGGGCATTTGTTGCAGATTTACCAAAACATTTGCAAATGACAGAGGCAAATTGGCGCTTGTGAGGAGGATCACGATCCAAGACACCAACATCTAGCAGGCTAAATACCTTGTGATGTGGGATGCAACAAGCTACAGCCAATGAGAGCAGACACAGCCTTCTCTCCAGCACTAGACAGGAGGTAGCAAATTTGGTAGAAAAAAACGTTTCCAATAATGTCACACACGCACGCACACACACACACACACACACACACACACACACACACACACACACACACACACACACACACACACACACACAACAGACAGTGAGAAAGAGCACAGCTACAACAGAGGCTAAGCCAGTTGAGGAGACAAAATGTAATATTTGTACAAAATAAACTTCATCTTTATGGATTATATTGTTGTTGACAAGAAGACTGTCAACATATGGCACCCTTTAGCTCGTGTTTCTAGAAATATGTGTACAGACACATAAGGAATAGTTAAACTGTTATATTTCTTAAAGGGAGTTTGGTGCAGTGAGCTTTTATTATTGGTGTTAATAATCACTCGATGAAACGTAGTTTCGAGACCCAGAGTCCTTGTAAAATAAGTGTGTGAAATTACAAGCAATTACAAGACAGATAGTTGTGTAGCGTGAACAGTACAGAGATCTAACAACTGTTAAAGTCATGTAGTGTGCCCATGGCTTTACTGGCAAAAATTCTCAGTGATTCGTAGCAGGAGTTCCCAAACTTTGTCATGTCATGTCATACTACGCTGTAGGTACCACCTTTGCATCACTTCTGAATTCTGCGGTCAAGTTAAATAAATAAATATGCAATGCCCAGAACAGTTGCAGTTTGGTTCAGTTTAGGCACAAAAACTACTTAGTTAGGATTGTATGTTAAGGTCATGTACGTTACTTATGTATGTTACATAAGTTAACATATGTAACTTACTTACATACATTACTTCAAAGAAACACAAGACACAAACAGTGTCCTCCTTGCTTCAAGTCCTGTGTTTGTTTGTTTTTTTCCCAACCCACCTCCTCCATATTCCAACTTTGTTGCTCTTTATACTTTGTCAAGCGCCTTCAACAACGGCCACATTCTGCCTAGTGCTTGCTCATGGTGGGAAGTACAGTCTAGACCTGCTCTATTTAAAAAGTGTCCTGTAATGAATTGGCGCTATACAAATAAAATTGAATTAAATTGAACTAGAAAGATACCTACAGCATCATAGCTCCTCTCCTGTGGAACCAGCTTCCAGTTGTGGTTCGGGAGGCAGACACCCTCATCACATTCAAGAGTAGGCTTAAGACATTCCTCTTTGATAAAGCTTATAGTTAGGGCTGGATCAGGTGAGTCCTGAACCATCCCTTAGTTATGCTGCTATAGGTCTAGACTATCGGGGGATTTCCCATGGTGCACTGAGCTCCTCCCTTCCTCTCTCTTTCTGCACTCATTCATGTTCCATTAATGCATGTTACTAACTTCACTTCTTCCCCGGAGTTCTTGTGCTTTCTCGTCTCGCAGGTTCTCATGGATCCTGGTGGAGCCTCCTGCCATGGTCCTGCTAGACTGCCATTGCCAATACTGTTGTTGCTGTGCACCTGTCTGTCTGTCTGTCTCTCGCTCTCTCTCTCTCTGTCTCTCTCTCTCTCTCACCCCAACTGGTCGAGACAGACGACCACCCACCTAGAGCCGGAGGATCTGTTCTAGGTTTCTGCCTTTTAACAGGCAGTGTTTCCTTGCCCTTGTCGCCAAGTGCTTGCTCATGGTGGTACTGTTGGGTCTCTGTAAATAATGTTTTAAAGAGTTCGGTCTAGACCTGCTCTATTTGAAAAGTGTCCTGAGATAACTTCTGTTATGAATTGGCGCTATACAAATAAAATTGAATTGAATTGAATTGAATTGAATTGAATATTTTGAAGTTGAGGGCCACTGACGAAGGTGCAGTTGTTTTTGCCTGTGATCTATTACTGTTCCTTTTAGCATTTCTTCTTTCTTCCTGTCAATTCTTTTGTTTTTCTCTTTGATGATCTGGCCCCATTATCAGCCATAATCCCCCCAAAAAAAAATTCTCTAAAGAAACATTTCCTCCTGCTTCCTTTTATTTTGGCTAAGGTGCTACTCACTGCCAAACTTTGCCTGGGAAAATGTAAACTCATCCTGTCTGTGTGCTAATTGTTTAATTTTACAGGGAATCCAACCTGGTTGCAGGCAGTAAGAATACGGCTGTATAGAAATATTCTTCTCACTGATGGTCTTGTTTAGGTCATATATAGACATCTGTATTAAACTGAGAATGTTTGATAAACAATTGTAGTAACTTTAACAGCTATTAAATGTACAATTTTCTTGCCAGTGTTTTCAGATATTTCTCCCTGTTTATGTTCTGCTCAGCTCTACTAACAGCTAACAGTGTTAAAGAAACAGCAGGGGGAGAGTCCACAGGTTCTGAGCTGGATTATGGGCTCGAAAGTAAGCAACACAAGATGTTTGGTTCAGGGGTTGGAGCACTACAAGGGAAGCAGAAACTCTCCCCTCTGAGCTCGTGTTCACTCAGGAGCTGAGCCTCCAATCATCTACTTTTCTCTGAGGAAATAAGGCTGGGATTAGTGGTGGAGGCTCAGTTCATTAAAGATCCCCTACAGATATGTTTAAGACGTTTAAAATGCCCTGCTTTGAATGATAAGTTATAATACCATTAAACATTCTTAAAATCAAAGAGTCAAAAGCAGATAAAACAAAAAGATAATAAATAAATAGTACCTAATGTAAATGATCAGAAAGCGGAATATTATTTATGAGTATGAACTCATTACTCATAAGCATGGTGTACTGTTTGTGTTGACAGAAACTTTATTATATTTCTGAGAGCATATATCTACTTCTACAAATAGGTTTACATAGGTTTTACAATTAAAATAAATGTCAAGCCATCTTAACCTCACAAAATAATACTTAAGAATTACTTAACTCCTTCCAACATTCTGAACATGCAAACAATAGGAAATAAAGATATGTCATGAGAAATCAAGTTACTTTTAGATTTTATCAGGAAGAAGACACCAAGCCGCTGCATATTTATTAATAAGCACATAAGCACTGTTTCATTGTTAGCATACTTACTGTAGTTAGGCTTTTTAGAGCAGAATACTAGGTCATATTGTTCACCTCCACACTGAGGCTGATGTGATGAGGGGGAAAGTAGATAGACAAGTTGAAACAACACTGAACTACACCATTCTTTGGAAAAATTGAACAGCAATAATATGTACAGGGTTTCAACAGGTTCAATTTGAGACTTTTTAAGAATATTATTAATGTAAGATCTAGTATTTAATACCTACACTGGCACAAAAAAACAAAAACAAAAATACTATGGGAAAACTGTATTGCGGTTCCATGTTGGTTTTGTAGTTGTTACACCCTGATACAAATACTGCCCCAAAACACATTTAAAAGTGATACTAGAAGTTAACTTAATCCAATTCATTAAGACCTGTCAAAATTATATTTGACCTAAAATATAGATTATTGGAGTTGGACTTTTTAAGTATGTAGTAAATGGGCTGAAACTCTGGTATGGTCCTAACTTCTAACTTCTGCAGTGTCCTGCTTTGTACTACATCAGAAAATTAATTGACAGGAAGTCACACATTCAATATAAATACAACTTTTATTGGCTTTAACTGTAATCTGTCATTACAGAAGGAACCACAAACAAAGTAATTACTGTAGTAACAGCAACGGCTGCTGGAGAATACATTCAACAGTTGCTTTTCATGTGTCAATCCTGTTAACCTACACAAGACATTATAGGCATTTATCTGCTATCACAGACAAATATGAAGGCACAACATTTGAGATATATGGAATGTATTTGAAGGCACTTCGTGGGGAAAAAGTGGTTGAAAATAAACTTTACATCATCATCATGACTCAAAGTGCTAGCTAGTTAGTCTGTGCTTGATACTGCTTCTATTGTCTTTTCAAAATAATAGCTTAAAATGTTTTTGTTAGAGCAAAACTGAATCAGTGGTTTTGATAATCCAATGAGAATTTCTCCCCGTAAAAGACACCGACATGAGGACAGGACTGTTCCAGATCTGGTCTACATTCTAGAGAAGATGCTGCCCAAAACTGCAGCATGCCCGAGAGGCCTTAATGGAAGCTATGGTTAATCTGTAAATAAGATGCAGGTGGGAGATTTAAACAGGGTTCTAAGAGATCAATCAAATTCAATAGATCAATATTAATGCTGTCCGTTTTGAATATTGTGCTGTTCAAATTATTTATGCAGATGCTCTGTAAAGAACTGCTCTGCACTGACGCTGGTATACTTGAAGGATAAGAAATAAACACACTGAATGTATTGAAGAATACAAAAATATTTTCCCAAACATTTGAGTGCAATTTACAAGAACTGTCAATAAATATAGGCATTTATATACACAATGAATTTCACAGTTCAGAAACTACATAGACCCTGTGTGCACAGATAACAGTGTGGAACAGAGCTACAGGGAAGCTGCTCTAGACGCAAACACAAGGGCTGCAACTAACAATTATATTCATTATCCATTAATCATTTAACTATTTAGTCTATAAAATGCCTAAAAATCAAGAGAGAAAATTTCCCAGAGGCCAAATTGACTTCTTTGCTTCTTTAGTCCAACAAACTGCAAAACTCAAAGATCATAAATGACAAAAAAAAAGAAAATGCTTCTAGCTTCTCAAAGTAAGGATTTTTTTCCCACATTTAAGTTGGAATTTTAAAAATATTTTCTAAAAAGTTTCTTTCAGTCACCTCATCGTTGCATTTCTAGCAGACACACTGGCTAGAAAGGCAGCGAATTCTCTCCTGCAGTTGTGCTGCAGCAACATGCAGTGTACTTCAGAAGAAGGTACATTGTGCAAGAACCCTGTTAAACCAGCACCACCTGCACCCTGAGTGCATTAATACTTATGCCAATAGCTTAGTTACCTGATTAGTTTGCAATCACATGATTAGCTTTTTTCATCATTTGAACTTGATTATGGCAGCTGCAGAGACTCACCCCCTGACCCCCTCACTGGGAGGACAGGGATGTTGACTTTGACACTTCAGACTGCAACAGAGAGCCTCGACCTGCAGTCAAACATGTGGGAGGAGCAAACAATAAATACAAACGCTAACCCTTTGTGTTTTAAATTAAGATTTGCTTTCAAAATAAATCAAGTGTTACAAAAAAATGTAATTGCAGCATAATATATTAACTGTGAAAAAATAACAAAAAACAGCTTGTCACAATCTTGCAATTAATAAGGAGGATCATAATTTAACATAAAAGAAAATATATATTCTATTGTTTCATTAAATATAAAATAAAAATGCTTAAGATCAACAATAAATACATTTTGATAAATAAGCAGTAAGCCAATGCCTGAAGGTTTTGGGAAATAACCTAGACAATAATAACAACATAATATTATTGAACATGGTGGAATCATTCAATTTCAGACAGCTGGCTGAGACGTCTCTTCAGACAGAACTGATGCTGGTTGGATAGGTGTGACGGCAAACTGCTGATGTTTAATTATGAAAACAAAAGGCGGCAAATTAACACCAGGAACCTGGCAGCTGCTTGTAAACATCTGCTGAAAATCAACACCTATTGTCACCTCAGCGTGAACAGCTGTCATTGAAACTACCAAGACACACTGTTTAAACCTGGGATTAATGGGCATCCTGAGCGATCGGATCACAAGTGGACAGCTCTAAATACAGACGCATGGTAATCAGATCACTCAGACAATTGCTGAGGTGGTCCACACATCTTTTGTAGTGTAAACGCTAATGTGGCCGCCTTCTCAACTGACCTCCTGTAGACACGCATGAAGAATGCTTTCCATTGGGTTTGTGTTAGAGCTCTCTGCCAAGATGAGCAGCAGATGTCTGTGAAAAGTTGTCTACAACAACTCCTTAATTATTTGGGCCTTCTTGTAGAGTTGGTAAACATTATACATTGCTTTATTTACCCCCAATTTCTTTCTTTGTGTAAAAAACACATTGTGTCCGATTGTCCCAGCTTGCTGGCTGGCTTTTACTTTCTATGACTGTGACATCAAAGATGACTTAGAATGCCACACAATCAGAGAGAGTAAAAGTGTGTATTAAGCTGTTATAAAGTTAAGTTATAAAATCACCACAGACTTTAGTGACGCTGAACTGAAAAAAAGGAACGAATAATCAAAGCTTAGTTTTAAACCAGTCAAAATGGCAGTAATAATGGACAATGTGAGTAGGGTAGAGCCCTACACTGATTATTTGCATAAAGTGTGGGGAAGTGAGATCCATTCACAGGTGGTCACTGGAGACAAGTGAGATCCATTCACAGGTGGTCACTGGAGACAAGTGGAGAACCATTATGCGAACCAATGTACTTAAAGCTGTGCACTTGTGATCAGATCACCCAACACCTTTTTTAATAGCAGGTGTAGACAGGGCCAAAACCGTATTCAAAGTGTTCTGTGGACAATCCAGAGTGAATGGACACTGATTTGGAAGAGATGTTGCTGTTGAAGTGATTTAAGTGTATGCCTTAATGCTGTGAGCATAAACTAAATTCAACCAACCAAGTATTGGGATGGAGAGAGAGATAAATAAAACCCAAACTGTCTGCATGGCTGAGAGTGTAAGAGGTAAGCGCGAGAATACTTTCTTGGAATTTGAGTAATTCGGCTGAAATGACTCCAAATTCAGGTCATTTTGAATCCTGTTCATAGTGCATTCAAATCTCTGGTGAGACCATTTCACTCTGCAGCTCCACCAAACAGTTCAATAATCAAGGCACATAGCACCAGCAACACACTAGTGCAGTAGACACACCCCGTGCAGAACACACACACTGACCTCACTTCCACTCCTACTGCCCATAATAAGTAATATTAAACTGCTTTATACAGTGATCTCTGAGCTACTGTTCACATTCATTCCAGCGTGGCACCAGTGCAGAGCCTTTACATTAATATGATTCAGGTTTACCAACTTTTTGAAGAGACTTGATCTGGGGGGGGCTTAAAAGACAAAAGAGAGAAGGCATCTCAGGTTGTGATGTAACTCACTGACTACAACAATGCAGAGTAGTCTGCTTCTCCTGCAAACAGGGCTGAAAAGAGGAAGAGAGTTCCCATCTTCCTCTCTCCTTCTCACTCCTATCTCAGGCCCAGGGATGCAGAAACCTTAATCATCAGAGATGGAGAGCCTGCTGAAGATGGGGAGGCGGCGGGAGGCATCCAGGAGGGGTGACTCAGAGCCACTCTGACTGCTCTGGTAACCCTCCTGGTCAGACAGAGAGTCTGGGAGGCTAGGGGGGCCCTCTGATGTGGGCTGGAAAAAGGTAGTTGGGGAAGGTGGGGCCTGAGGCTCAGACACAAGTGTTGGCCCCAGGCTGGGGCCAAACAGGCTGCCAAACTCCTGGCTGGAATAGGTGAAGGGGCTGGTGAGGTCTTCAGTGGAGAACATTGGCGGAGGTGTGGGGCTGTCCTGCAGGCCGCCGCAGCTGGGGAAGCCTGCAAAGCTCAAACTGTGCTGCAGCCGAGGGCGTTGCATCTTGTTGAAGGTAGAGAGGGGAGGGGGCCCGCGGCGCTCCTCTGCGTTGTGGATGAAGTGGCAGCGGGGTCCATAGGGGCAGAAGCCGATGGTGTGGAAGGTGCGGCACAGCTCAGTCTTGTACTTTGGGTGACGGCTCAGGCTGCGCAACTCGTGCATGCCGTGGGCAAACTGGCACTTGTCGCCGTACTTACAGGTGCCGTTCTCCTCAAAGGGCCGACACAGCTCTGTCTTATAGCGGCTCGAGTTGACTTGGCTGCTTCCACCTACACACACCTGACTACCGGGTCGCAGCCTGTCTCCCAGCTCTGAGTAGGAGCGCTCACGGAAACGGTTCTCCTTGTTGCTGTTAGAACTGCCACCCAGCAACACAGTGGGATCTGTTTTATGGCTGTTGACAAACTGGTTCTGGCTGAACTTCGCACTGGGGAGGCTGACTGAGTGACGACGTTGTAACAGGCCTCCTGCAGAGGGGGCCCCCACCACCTTCCTGTCCAGCAGGGACCCAGTGGTGGTGCAGGGGGAGAGGTTGGCACTGGAGCATGGGACCGAGGTCAGCTGAGGTCCACCAAGACTGTTGTTGTTGCTGCTGTAGTTCAACATCTTATTGTTCTGAAAAGAGAAACAAGTCATTTAGAAAACAGTCCATTCAATAAGCACAGCAGTTCATTCCTGGTGATTAGAATTGATGTGATTGATTTATACCCCAAAGTCAAATCTGCAAACTCACTCACTAATATTAGCTTCCCACTCGAGTGAGACAGTGGAATGGAGGCACCACAGACGAGAGGAGCAAATTTGTTCCAAAGAATTGCGTGTCATTTCAAATTTGTTCCAACTTGATATCCTGAGATGGTTACTGACTACAAAATAGTCAGTTGTCACAAGCAGGTGTTGGACCTGAAGACCAGTTATGAAGTGAAAAGGTTTTAGATTAATAAAAACTGCCAACTTATTAAAGAAGCATGATTTCTTCCTGAAAGCTACGCATCACGCATGCAGCCTGTCTTCCTCTGCTCTGTGAGGGTGCATGAGGGCGAGCCTCAACTCCACCAAGAGTGAACCCAGGTGACGGCAACTATTCTTCCTATCCTTACTGTAAGTTCAATAAAACCGCTAAAAAGCCAAATTAGAGTAATGTATCAATACACCTGTTCAACAAGTAGAAACTTGGCCCGTTCTGTCCCCAGGCTGCACCACCAGTACTGTAGTACACTTCCAATGTGTAGGATTTAGTGGCATTTAGCGGTGTTACTACAGATTGGAACACCCTCGCCTCACCCTCCCATTCCAAGTGTGTAGGAGAATGTACAGCGGCCACAAACTTGTTTACAACCATATCTATAGCCAGTGTTTTGTTTGTCTGTTCTGGGATACTGTAGAAACTAGCAAGCTCACATGAACCAATTACCACAGACAGACGCTCTCTGGTGCAGATACTGTGGATATTTCACAAGCACCGACCAGGTCAAGCAAGAGTAAACCGCAGTGAACACACCGGTTGCTGCCGATGTCATTCCTTACCACGGTTTTGACAGTTTTAATGTAATACGTCAATAACAGCAAGCCTCTTTTACATGCAGCTCAACTGCTGTTATAGGAAAAGGAAGCGCAGGTGAAAAAAATCCCAAAAGGTCAAAACCATACAACATTCTGCTGAAGCAAGTCATGAGACACATACAGGGAGAGAGAAACAGAAAGAGGTGGAGCAGGGCCATCCGGACCAGATCAGGGGAGGTATGTACGTGTGTGGATAATGGTATTGAAGGGAAAAGCAAGGTGAGTTGATTAAAATAGTTTGAGGGTCAAGTTGTGATTTAAGAAAATAAGGTAATATTCTACTAGAAAAGGGGCAATGTAGCCTATTATTAATTATTTAAATACTTTCAATTGACATGGATTAGGGTTAAGACTGTTTTTGTGTTGACAAACCAAGTCTCAAAATGACCACAAACCACAGAACTAACTCTAATGGAAACAGAAAAAGGGGTGATAGAAACAGAAGGCAGGGTGACTCCAGTCCGGCTTCCCAGCAGCAAAGACTCTAGACTGCGCACTGGGATTTTATAACTGAATTATGAGCAGGACACACAGACTGTGTGGAAATCTGATGTTTTCACATTACAGATGAGGCAAAAAGGCATTTAAACAAGAAAGACTCATATAGGCTGATAGGCACAAAATGAAATGACAATCAAGTAAAGAGTGGGGAGTCACCAGGCAGCAGAAGAGAGTACGCCGAGTCAGCAATGCTGGAAGCCAGTCAGACGGCATGCTAAATATTGCAATGCATGATAATCAAAGTTTTTTGCATTAATTGGAATAGTCAGGGTTATTTATAACCTATGTAATTTTATATTAACAAAATTGTACAAAACTTGTACTGCTTTTTGGCAGACAAAACCGATTTAAAAAAAAAAAAAAAGGCACAATCTCTTTTCTTACATAAATACCACTGTATGAATGAAAAGCCTAGTGGAAAAAATAAAAAAGGGGTAAGTTTAAAACTTTTTATAAACGTTTGTATTATGCCGGACGGGCTTCATTGCTTAATATCTGACTGCCTGCTACTCCTCTTGTGATTTGACATTGAGGCATCCCCTTTTGAGGCTGGGCTGGATTAGCTGACTGTCAATCTTACGGCCTCAGTAGAAAATAAGCAGTTTAGTAAATGACTGTGGGTTTGCAGGAAGATATTTAAACTGTTAAAGCTTAAACAGCTCAGCACACTGCAGAGGACATGCAGGAAATTAAAAGTAAAAAGGTAAAGATGGCTAACGCGATAAAGCCATGTGTTGCAATGTAATGACTTTATAACTACTTAAACACAATGACGCTCAACTAGTCAAGTGACACACAGTTCACACAGACGGCGAGGAAGTAGCTAAGCTAACGCACAGTCACACAGTTCGCGCTAGTTAACAACAACAACGCCAGCGTTCATTTTACACTGTTTAGGACAACCTTCAGACACTGATAGTAAACTGGTGCTTAGACTGCTCGACATTCAAATGTACATTTAACGTTAGCTGCTTTATTTCAGTGTTAAAAAATCAACATTAAACACAGAGTGCTCCGTGTGTGCGTCACGCTCACATTACCTTTTAACGTTAACTAACCTAACGTTAACAAACATCACAAAGTTCACCAGCAGCCAAAACCTCTTTTAAACAATCGTAATTGGTTTTAAAAAGCTGAAAGGCGTTTAAACTTGACGAGTTACATGTACTGTAACTATTTCAACACTCATGGGACTGCTTTAAGTTAGTGCCCTCAAAAACTTAACACCAAACTTGCAGTTGGCTAGGCTCGGGGTTAGCATATTTCCTCCAGAAGGACTGAGATTCGCCGCCATGTACCTTGTTAGCGACTTCTCTGTACTCGAAGAAAGGAGAAGAAATAGTCGTTGTCATGTTTGCTGGTAAAGAATTGGAATAAACGTTTGCTGTTGTATGAGATAGTCCAGATTTCGGTGTTTTCAGCCCCATGGAGAGCCCCCTCCTCTGCCGGGTTGAGCCGCTGCGCAGTTGATTTTAAGGAGCAGCGGCCATGGCTGCGCGGTGGGCGGGCTTAAGACTGACCTGCCGCAGCCAGCAAACAGTGCCTCTGCCGGACGAACATATAACTGCCTCAGTTCTCCGTAGAGGATGGTCTTTCATAGGCCATGTAGAAAACAATTGTCTGTTTTGATGAACACTTTGATTATAGACTCATTCCTCATCACAGAGCGCCATGGGGAGTCATCCCTGCCTTAGTCTATCAAACTCCCTCAGAGTGTCAGAACATTTAAATGCCTTTTAGTATTGTTTTGCTTGGTTTTATTTTGTCTTTGTCATTATGTTTCCCCTAACCACCCATATGCTTTGGCTTAAACCTAACCAACTCTTAACCAGTTATTAACTTCACTTAACCAGAGTTATTTTTGCAGCAGTGGAACTGAAGGGCAGTTATCAGACAGACATGCACTATTATGAACTATGAAACAGTAGAGAGGTTGTCATCTGTATGCACAGCATGTCACACTAGTGTCATATTATGTTTTAGTTCTTTATTTCTAGTTGTTTGGCACAGACTCTGTTTGTCATCTTTGTTACTCCCATCACGTCTTTTTTTCTTCTTTATTCTTTTGGTTTTACATGTGTAAGAGGGTCATGCTCTCCATGGTTCCCATTGATCTCTTAACGCCCTGATTAAATGCCCAGTGTGTGGTTTCCCCTGTGGATTGAGTTATTGTAGTATTTTGTTGAATAGTAGTGGTGTGAATGTGAATGTTACCAGTATGATATTGGACCTGATTTGAAGGATAATGCTGATGTATTTCCCATAAATGTTGTAATTATGATTCTATGGGTCATGCTAACTTTGCACTCAACACCTCTGTTCAGGGTTAGCCGTGTGGGAGCCACCTACATTTCCAAATAAACTGAATTTTTATGTAAACACTGTATGACAGAGAGACTCCAGTTGTGGCTAATTGCTCTGCAAATTGATCTAAACACTACTCCAAGACATTATATTGTTTTTATTTTTTGGTTAACCAACCCAGTGGTTCCCAACCTTTTTTATTGTGTAAACTGATGACCCCTGACTAAGTGACATATTTTATGGATATTTCATATTATATTCAATGCAGTCCAATAACAGTAGAGAACTACATTGTATAATAAATAGTGAACACAATATTTGAAAAATAAAACAAAATATTTGGATCAATTTTTAGCAGATTATTTCCTGGAAATATATCGGAGTTGAGTGTTCCTAATATTTGTAGGAACTACAATTCTCTTTCTGTAGTATGTAATTTAAACAATCATACATACTTAATAGGCTTCTTTCTGACAGATTCAGTGTTTCCGCTCATTATTCCATTAGCTCTTTGGTAGTTTGAACTTCTTTAATGCAGGATGAGGCTGTTTATCAGAGCTTGAAGGCTCTGTGAATATAACTTGTGTTCAGGTTTTCAAAGTTTAGATGTTTAAACAATAATTTAAACTTTAAAAGTAACAATTTTGTAATAAATTAGTGAAATGCTGAGATATACCCTGCAAGTACTCTAGGACAGTGGTTCCCAAAACCTCTCCTTAAGGGAGCCTATCATTGAGTAAACTAAGTGACATATTTTATGGATATTTCATATTATATTCATATATGCATAACAAGTACATGGTAAATGGTAAATTGTCTGTACTTACATAGTGCCTTTCTAGTCTTTTCAAACACTCAAAGCGCTGTACACTACATGCAACACTCACCCATCTGCACACATTCATACCCTGAGGGTAGTGGCTGCCATGCAAGGTGCCAACTGCTTATCAAACGAACATTGCGGAGCAATTTGTCGGTTCAGTATCTTGCTCAAGGACACTTCAACATGCAGCGAGAGAAGCCGGGATCGAACCGCCAACCTTCTGATTATTAGACAACCCGGTACAGAACAACTGATAAACTGTACAATGAACCCAGTAGTTCTTTAAGGAACTTTTCAAGTTTTCTTATACCCCTTAAAATCAAGAGTGCTGTGACCACCTATGAAGCTTTGGCGACCCCTAGTTGGAGTCCCGACCACCTGGTTGGGAACCACTGAATTAACAAACAAAATTGTGACTTTTTCTTTCAGCTACCATTGTAATTTCGATCATAGCACGTATGTCTGTGAGAATTATTCATCAAACCAAACGAACAACCTTCAGATCCACATTTGTTTAACCATTCTTGAAATATTCAATTCACTTACAGGAAATCACCAAGTGAAATAAACAGATAAAGCTGATTTCATGGCTTACAATGGATGTAACTATGTGTTAAATACAGAATTACACCATCAAAGGAGGAAGATTTGTTCAGTTCGTTATCTGACTTTGTTTAAAGGGCCAGTGTGTAACATTTAGGAGGCTCTATTGTCAGAAATGTAATACGATATTCATATGCTTTCATTAGTGTAAATCACCTGAAAATAAGAATTGTTGTGTTTTTTTGTCCTGAGAATTTTTATCTAAAGACTTTACAGGTCTCCTTCCATGGAGTCTGCCATGCTGAACGTTACATATGTATCAGAGAACAATGGCAACAATATTTCCTCCTTCACGCTTGGAAGGGGAGGGTGAAGTGACAGAGTTGCAATCTGCAACTACACTGGATTTTAAAGGTCCCATTGTAACTTTTAGAAAACCTTGTTAATAATGACACTGTTGGCCGATAAGTGAACTGCAGTCAGTTTCCTGTTGTTGTTGTTGTTGGTGCAGTAGTAGCAGGCATGAGCATCATCCTGGGCATCGGCCAAAAGTGACAAAAAGTGAAGTACACAAGACTGAATGCTGGGAAATAAATTAAAATTATATTTAGAATAACATTACTATCTGCAATGTTCCTATATTTTATTTGGACCATTGACTCCTAACTAGCTTGCCGTTTACCCCATCAGCCAACACCACAAGGCAACCAATGCCGAACCCACACCGTGCAGTTAGGTGGCCAATCCCAGTTTAGTTTAGGCTACATTACGTCACTTATGTATTATGACAAACTGTGTTGTAGCCAACAGTAAGTTAGTAACATTATCAAGGGTCACATTAGCTGGTAAAGTACCTAGCATAGCATATCCACTCAGATAGTTCTTTGCCAGTGATAGCTTTAGCGAGCAAGCAAGCAAAGGTTAGCTAGCCATGCTGAATAATGTGCGGCTCCAGTTGCACGCAATAGCAGCCATCAAATGAACCTGCAAATGGCAAGCTGACCAGTCTCAATGAAGCTAGGTGATCTTATCCACTCAAGACAGTATTTTGCTATGTTAGCTAGCTGGCAATTTAACAGTGTTAGCAAGCAAGCTTTCTCAGTCCAGTAAAAGTTGCTCATGAACAGCTCCTAAGAGGAAACGCTTTGCTAGAAACTTCTAGTCCTTAATAGGGGTTAATAATCTTTTTCTTGTCAAAATGCAGCTTCTCACATCACAAACAATATGCATATGGAGGTGATTTCCAACTGCACTAGCTGTTTCAGCAATCTTTCCCACCCCAGCTTCAATATTTTTGCCGAACTGTGGAGACAAAGGGCAATGTATGGAAGCCCATTTCCGCCAATTTGACGCAAATTGAGAAAAGTTTCTCATTATTCTGGGGTGCTAAGTCAAAATATTGAGAAAAGTTTCTCATTTATTTGAGGTACTAAGTCATTATTTGAGTCAATTTTTGCTCATGGTGGTACTGTTGGGTCTCTGTAATTAATGTTAAAGAGTTTGGTCTAGACCTGCTCTATTTGAAAAGTGTCCTGAGATAACTTCTGTTATGAATTGGCGCTATACAAATAAAATTGAATTGAATTGAATTGAATTGAAATGGGATTCCATTCCATTTAGACTCTTACAGGAATTACAGCTCTGGTCAAAATGAGGATCCATGGCTCTTCTCAGGAAAAAATGTCTGAAATGAAATTGGCACATCAGTTTTAATGCGATCTTGGCTGCATTGCGTTGTTTCCAAAGCATAGCATTAGCATGTTTTTCATTTTTTCATTTCCAGTAATTCAATTTTACTGAAGCACTGGGACTATTTTTTTTTTACTAAAAGCCTGAAATTACTTACAGGGTCAATTCTCCTGTGGCAATCTTCCCATCAACACACTGGGCTTCATGAGATCCCTGAGACTTTGGCATCGAGTGCTGGGCGCCTGACTGTTGATATGGAGGTATTTTGCAATACAAAATATACTGTGGTTTATTTTTGAAAAACCTTTGCTACCACGACACAACTCCTTTACTCCCTTCTCTTGTTGTTTTTGTTATGGGGGACTGAGGTCTGTGTGCTTTGATGGCGAAAAAGAAAGCACAGCAGGAATGAGCAGAATGGCTGTGTGTTTGAAGAGCAGATATCTGATTTATTTGGCCTCATATACTGTGGTATGTTATTACAGCAGAGACCCATGGTGAGATAAGAGCAGTGCACTCAAATCTGTTTACTGAGTCAGATGTGCTTCATTATCTTGGTCTCTGTTGCATGAATCCTGTTTTCTTTTTCTCCTAAAATGTAGAGGAGTTGACTGAAATGCGGGAAAGTTAAAAAGAAATCTCCCAAAATAAAACGCACAGTGAAAACCTGAACACATGATATTTTCACAGAGCCTTCACTCTCTCATCCTTGTTAGCCGTAGAAAAGTTAAAACAACCAAAGAACTTACAGAACTATGGCAGGAAAACACTGAATTTGTCAAAGAAGAAGCCTATTAAGCATCATATGTGATTTAGTCTTGACAGAAAGTCTTTAGTGCTTACACTTTACAGGGAGGTTTTAGTGATTAAGGGGCATCTGCACTGAGCAGCAGCAAGATAAATCTGCCCATGGAGTCCAGACGATGGGAGTGGTGGCTGATGACTCTGCTGAAGCTGATGAAATAATGGCTGCATATGAAAAGTCTTTTTTGCTTTGGAAGGTTCCTAAATGAGTTAAGTGACCTTCAAGTATTTCAGTGGCAGCCATGATAAGAATGGTTTGAAAGGTGCTTCAATGCTGAACCATCATTTATTTGCAGAGTCTTTAGCCTTATTGGCTGCTATAGCCTAGTGTAAGTGCAGTTGGATTCTCTTAGGAGTCCTTCATATCTTTCCTTAACCTCATGTTGTTTTCCACAGAAGACTGGGCAGAGATGGTTGTGTACAGTAACATTAACATATACTGAAAGCAGAGAGAGAGAATCATATTTAAAAAGCAGCAGCAAGATGATTAGCTGACAATGAAGGTTGTCACTGTGCAATTGGATAGATGAGATCAAGCTGATGAGAACAGCTGATATCACAATTGACAGCCACCGATAATGACAGCAAGGATGGAAAGGAAAATTAAGCGCAGGCTTATATGCATAACAAGCCAAATATTCTTAATTATAATCAAATGTTCTTGTATTGCGAAAAAAGATTTGCCAATGTGGTAAGCTAATTTTGCTTGCCTAGAATTCCTCAAACTGGCATGAAAATCTAACCATTGAAATACTGTAATGGGCCCTAAAACTAGAAAATATGCCAAACATGTAATGTATTTAATTTATTACAAAGAGAATTCTGTACACTAACACTTTATTAAAATAAATATTTTTCACTTTTTGAGCTGAATTGAAAGGGGACATATTATGCAAAACCAACTTATTAATCATTTGATTATGTACATTTGGGAATCTGGAGGGCCTATCAGCAGGCAAAGTGTGAAAAAAAATGACTCAGTCATGTTTTTGTGGGCTGCCTCAGTCAAAATACAGGAGATAAATCACTCCGTTTCAGACAGTCAGACTTTTAGACGTCATTTCGCCTCCATGTTGCCACCTACCGCAGTTTACTTCCTGTTGACTATCGGAGCTCCGCCATTGTTACTATAAAAGGCAAGCTAGCGGAGATCAAGCAAGCGAGCCCAGCCGGCAGCCTGCCAGCCTAATGCAGAGCTGCCAACCACCTGCGGCGCTACTATTGGGCCTGGGCCCACCCATTTTAGGCCCGGACCCACCTATTTTGACCCAGGCCTATAGTGAGTAGTGAGTGATTTTCATTCTAGCTGTTCATCCAATAAGCAGCCTGAGGAAAGCTTTAATTGAAAGCTTCTCAGCCAATCAACGGCTTCTACCCCACATGTGGACTCTTAAGCCTGCCCACAGGCTGCATCGTCACCAGCAAGTGATCCAATGAAATGAATGACGTTGGCGCGCAAGCTTTTCAAGCAAGCTCAATGAGACAGACACAGACGGTAGCTATTAGCTAATATGAAAATGTCAACATGGCAAAGCAAAGCAGCTTGTTTTCATTTAAATTCACCAAGAAACACTCCGAGGAGCAGGAGGAGGAAACTCCTGCCATTTTAAGTAACGTTACGAGTGACGAGTAACGATCCAGCTCGGCCACCCTCTCCCCATCAAGTCCTCCCGTAGCCACCCCCTCACACCAGCAAGGCAAGTAACAGTTAGGCTAACGTTAACGTTAGTGCCTGGCTGTCTGTATGCACATTTTCTGGAGGGAAAAATAATATTGGCAGTAGGCAGAGGTAACTTATGATAGCGTTTTATTTATGTCTTTGTCCGCTTCAGCACTGAGCTGAGGACAGCGACACAAGAGCCACACAGGTAGGCTACTGAGTCGCTGTCCTCAGTGCCGCAGAAGAGCGCTGAAACGGAGATGATTATTGGCTTTAGCCCTATTCGCACAGGACTAGTATTACCTGGGACCTCTAGTAACTTGAAATAATTGTGGAGGTCGTCTGTGATCTTAATCCCGTGCGAATCTGCCATGTCTATAATTTGTAAAGTAAAAATTCCACCGCAAATTACCTACCATATTTTGCCAAACACAGAGGTCATGTGATAATATTAGACCCGTGCGAATCGGCATCTCTGTGATTTGGGGTGGTTTTGTTTTTTTTTAAGGTTTTTTGTGTTTTCCGCTCCTTTTTTCTGCCTTTTTCCCGGTCGAGAATTATGGAGGCTGCGTTGGCAATTATAAATGAAAGTTTTGACAGCATTTTGGGTGCAAATTCAGGAGACTCATCTAGGTACACAGCATGGAGACCCATTCGCAGAAAGAGCAAGCTCAAATCCATCAGAAGAGCGAAATCTCTAAAGATAATTAGATGGATTACATGCATGGCAGCATGCGGTAAGGAACATTTTTCTATCTTTCAACAGGCTCACCAGTTATTAGGTTTTTTATTGTTACGCATAGGTTACGCAAAGCCTTGACATCATATCCAGGGGATAATGTCAGTAAATTCGAATTAAAACACAGGCTTCGCTTATCCCGTGCGAGTGCGCCGCACGAAACACAGACGTGGTGGGGTAATTACTAAATCACATGAAGTCCCCAGGTAATAGGCTACTAGTCCTGTGTGAATAGGTCTATATTTTAACTGGCCCATCCAGTTTTTTTGGCGGCCCACCCACAATCAAAATCCTGGCGCCGCTAGTGCTGCCAACTCTCATGCTTTGGCCGAGACTCGTTCGTTCCTTCTTAAACTCCCCGACGGTAGATGGCGCTGATGAGCGCCACTGAACCCAATGTGCTGCACCCCGTTCTATATATACAGTCTATGGCACCCCGAAGTTTGCGACAGAAGAAGAGATACTGAGAAAGACAGCGGGATAAACTACCTTGAGAAGTCTGATGAGAATCTGAGCTGAGACTAGGTATGTAACAATGAAATGTCGTCCAATTGAGTACTCACTCTCTTAAACTTTAAATCTTGAAATAAATTATTTGTTTGTGTTTGTGTGTGTGAACATTATTTAGTGTGGCGAAAGCTGTCATAACATGCAGCAGGAGACCCGTTTTTGGCTGAACATAAATCATGAAGTGCTCTTAAGAATACAATTATTCACAACATAGGTTAGGTTTCAGTTAAGAATTAGTTTAATACCATTCTAATCAAAATATCAATCAACCTACAGGTACCTAGGTCCAATCTTAAACACTGGTCTATGAATAAGGCTTTATTGTGATACAGGCAGTCATTTAGGCACAACAATAGTTTTCTGGTTGAATGTTCAGTTCAAGTCTAGAAGGCCCTACAAGTCATGATGCCGAACATGACTCAGAATAAGTTCAGGTATTGCACATCTTTAGCAGACCACCCAAAAATCCACTAGAATGCAGGAAATCACATCTACTTAATCCAAAATTTCCTGGGGGTGGACCTTCTAGTGATGGGTTGGTCACGAACGATCCGGCTCTTTGAAGTGAACGATGGGAGCCGGCTCCTGATTGGGAGCCAGATCCGAATTTTTTTCTGTTAAAGCCGCATGATTTTGGTTACAGATGCACAGTGAGCATGTGAACAGGTGGGAGGGAGGCTTGACAGAGCGAGAGAACTTGCTACATAGACAGAGACTACACACTGGAAAGGTGAGGAAAATGAGTGACAGAAAATGTAGTACAGTTTGGACATATATGTATATATATGTGATAGACGGTTCAAAGGCAAAGTGTAGAAAGTGCAAAGTTAAAAATTTCATATTGAGCAGCTTTTTGTCTAATTGAGATGGGTCTTTGTTTTTGTATTTTATTGTTTTTGTATTTATTTTTTAAGCACTCTGTTCCATGTTGAGTATATTAATAAATCCATATAAATAATAAACATTTGATATAATGTATGTATTTACATTAGATATTCATTTTACACATAATTTGGTAATAAATTAATTTAAGCAACAGAAAATCTGAGGAGCCACCTGGGAGCCGAAAGAGACGGCTCTTTTTAGTGAGCCGAGCCAAAGGAAACGGTTTTCTAAAAAGAGCCGGAATTCCCATTACTACTCTATTACTACTATTAGAAGCTACCAAAATACCGGGAGTGAGTTATGGTGATTCTTTTCTGTTTGTGTAACTTGCTAATGTGCTAAACAGCTGGGGCTAGCTGCGTGGTTTTCTGTGTTACGGTGTGTGTGTGTTACGGTGTGTAAATTAACTTGATCTACCTGCACCGGAGTTAACAATAGAGCTACTGTGAGAGAGAAATAGTCAAACTGCAGGGATTCATTAGTTTAGTAAAACTGTGTAACTACGACGCTCACTAGGCTGTTTTGTGCAGTCCAACACTGCTTTATTATTTTATTTTATAACTTAGGACTACTTTGAGCCACAACGAGCTGTTGTACTTGTATTATATTATACTGTATTGTATTATATTATACTGTATATTGCTGCCTTACTAGTAACACTGAATCTGCCTTGTTTTACAGGTGACCTGATGAAGCTCAGGTGTCCCTGGACCCATCAGAGGACAGAGACAGCTGTAGCATCAGGACAGCCTGGGTATCCAAAGGAAGACTCATCAAGATGAACACTGCCTGCAGAGCTCCATTACCAGCTCACACTTCAGTATACTAGAAACCTAAGATACCTTGATGAAGGACACGATCTGCACAGTTTACATAAAAGTTATAGCTTTGTTACTTACAACATGTGTAACTAGAATATGAATTAATCATAAATAAAGTGTTTTACTTTTAGGAAGAGTTTTGGTCATTTTTTAATTCAGTAATAAGTGTGGTTTTATATAAATAACATGTTATTTCACAAAGGTTTTACGAAGATTTCCTGGATGTACAAGAGTTGAAAACCTGGTTCGTGTAACATCTATCAATATGAAAATGTTAAACCTGTATTAATTAAATTCAGTTCAATTCAATTTTATTAGTATAGCGCCAATTCATAACAGAAGTTATCTCAGGACACTTTTCAAATAGAGCAGGTCTAGACCGAACTCTTTATAACATTATTTACAGAGACCCAACAGTACCACCATGAGCAAGCACTTGGCGACAAGGGCAAGGAAAAACTGCCTGTTAAAAGGCAGAAACCTAGGACAGATCCTTCGGCTCTAGGTGGGTGGTCGTCTGTCTCGACCAGTTGGGGTGAGAGACAGAGAGAGAGAGACAAACAGACAGACAGGTGCACAGTCACATTAATGACTGTAAGCAACACAATACATTACTGTCTCACATTCAAACTTTATTACGTTGGAAGATAAATGACATGCCAATATATAATGATAGAATATTCAGTATACGGTATGTTTAATGGGGTTCAAACATAATTGCAGCTTTTACACATATCTGAAGGTTAACTTTGGTAATAATACCTTAAAGTTAAATTATCAGACTATGAAATATGAATACAGTACAGTTTACAGTTGGTTACTTAGCAGTTTTTAAACCACATCAACAAGTTACTTTATTAGATGAGTGATTCCTTCAGTTATGTTGACATGTGCAGGATAAAGTATTGCAGGCATATAATATGTTTAACTTCACTGGGCTGTGTAGACTGTAGGTCACTGCTCACTGCTGTACCTGTAAAGACAAGCATAAAACACAGTTAGTTCTCATAGTTAAGGTATAAACACTAACATTATGTGATGTTTTTATAGCAGTATTTACCTGAGGAAAACGTCACAGAAAGCTGTAATCCTGATTGTTGTTGATGATCATTTCTCCGTGATTTCAGGTCAGACTCCCGCTCTAACCTTTCCGGTGGTGAAGTTTTTGGTTTAGAAGCAGTTATTGAATTAATATTGATTGTGGGAGGGGCCGGAGCGTCATCCGCGTGAAACGCGTTATAATGCCGACCAATCAGAGCAGACTGGGCTTTTTCGGGAGGGGGGCCTTGTAGAGACAGGAGCTAAAACCGATCGATTCAGACGATCAGAAGAGGTGCTCAGCTATAGACATTATAAGTAAAATAATGTGTTTTTTGAAGATTAAAACATCTAAACCTATTGTTGTAGAGCCACAAAATACAATTATGAACCTGAAAAGGGGCATAATATGTCTCCTTTAAGAATGTGTACCTTAATCTAGACAAGACACAATTTCTTCAAACAGCATAATAAAAATAAGTGACTAGTTTTTAATGAAGGCACCAGAAGCATTCTTATTTTTAGATAAATTTTTTTTTATTAAACAATTAAAAACTAAACAGCTGCTTCATTTACAACACTGGGACAAGACTACTTTCTCTTAAACTGAAAAGTTGTGCAAGTGATCTTACTCTTAAAATAAGGAAAATAATCTTGTTCCTCTGCTTGGATAACATGCAAACCATTGTTGTAACTTATTACCTTATTGGTTAAATTTAGCTCAGTATTAGCTGTAATGTCTTATTAAGACAAAGTTAGATGAGTAAACCCAAGAAAGTCAGAGGACAAACCAGGTCAGTGGAGCAAACCCTGCCACCAACAGCTGCTGCTGGTGATATGAACCAATGATGTTGTGTCTTAAGCAAATTAAGGAACCGCTGCATTCCAAGGTCAGTCAGGAAAAGAACAGTCCTGTCTGATAGCAGCAATCAGATAAACATTATGTCATTCATGTCAGGAAACAGACAGGGAACTGAGCCAAGAGTGACATCACTGCTGACCAGAGGACTCAACACTGCCCATTCACCTCCTTTAATATGAGAAATGCTGGTTGTTGTTTAAAGGTTACTCAGAGCATGATGTTGTTTGTTGTCAGAAAGCCGTGTGGTGTCTGGAATTGCTCAGGAGCTCTATAAAACTCTTATCTGTGTGCATGCACAAGAATGTAGAAATATCTGCAACACAAACCTTTGACCCCACGTGCTGCAATGCCTGAGACAACAGAGGATGAGCAGTGTTATCGAACACATGCCCCTGTCATGAGATAACAAGAGTTTTACCAGCAAAAGCTGCTAGAGACCAGGAAAGGCACATTGTTTTCATTTCATCTCGGTTTCTCTTACATCATTTCCTCACTGTGGTATTTCCTTCAAGTGTTGCAGCTTTGTCTGAAACACACACTGCAATTATTCTGTATCCAGGCGGCCAGCCACAGAACATCAAGTTTTTGTTAAAACTGTACCCTGCAGAAGCCACTTTGGCAGGATGATGAGTGTCCAAACTTTGGTCTGTTTGTTTTATTAACAGCTGCAGATCAATCAGTAGGCTAGAGTCCCTTTTCCCTCCTACTCTGTATATTTTCAACTTTAAAAACTTGTTTGCCAATAAAATAATGCATTTTTAAAGTTTGTGGCAAACATTACTCTGCTGCTGTTACACCCCAAAATAGACATAAATTGAGTAATTGTTCAACTCTTAAGTCTGGGTATTTAATGACTGTGACACAGACCAGGAGCTCCCCCTACAGGCAGTGTAACAGAAGTGACATCACTGACCAACTTACCCTTTCTGTTCATCAAAATAAATAAAAAAAAATAGAAAACATGAACACACATAACATTGCATATAAGTTAGGGTTCAAGAGTACATTAGTTTAGACTTAAATGACCGCCCACATCATGAAGACCCTGGAGAGACTGGTTCTAGAACCACTGCGGCCCATGGTCAAACCTCACATGAACCCACTCCAGTTCGCCTACCAGCCCCGTCTGGGAGTTGAGGACGCCATCATCTTCCTGCTCAAACACATCTACACCCACCTGGACAAGCTGGCGAGCACTGTGAGGGTCATGTTTTTTACTTCTCCAGTGCTTTCAACACCATCCAGCCAGCTCTGCTGGGTTAGAAGCTGACAGCAATGGAGGTGGATGCCCCACTTGTGACCTGGGTTTTCAACTACCTGACTGGTAGACCACAGTATGTGCGCCTGCAACACTGTGTGTCAGATAGAGTGGTAAGCAACACCGGACCCCCCAGGGAACTGTCTTCTCTTCCTTCCTCTTCACCCACTGCACCATGGACTTCAACAGAACACAGAGTCCTGCCATCTTCAGAAGTTTTCTGATGACTCTGCTGTGGTGGGGTGTATCAGCAGGGGTGATGAGACTGGGTGACTTTGTCGCGTGTGAGCAGATCTACAGCTCAATGTGACTAAGACTAAGGAGCTGGTTGTGGACCTGAGGAAAGCCAAGGCTTCACTTAGCTGTTTCCATCCAGGGTGTCAGTGTAGACACTGTGGAGGAATACAAGTACCTAGGAGTTCACATTAGTGATGGGAATTCCGGCTCTTTTTAGAGAACCGGTTCCTTTGGCTCGGCTCACTAAAAAGAGCCGGCTCTTTCGGCTCCCAAGTGGCTCCTCATATTTTTTTTTGCTTAAATTAATTTATTACCAAATTATGTGTAAAATGAATATCTAATGTAAATACATGCATTATATCAAATGTTTAGTATTTATATGGATTTATTAATATACTAAACATGGAACAGTGCTACAAAAATAAATTATTAAACACAAAAACAAAGACCCATCTTAATTAGACAAAAAGCTGCTTGATATGAAATGTTTAACTTTGCACAGTGTACACTCTGCCTTTGAACTATCACATTAAAATGTGTCCAAACTTTACTACGTTTCCTGTCACTCATTTTCCTCGCCCTTTCCAGTGTTTAGTCTCTGTCTATGTAGCGCCAAGGTTTCTCGCTCTCACATCTCCCTCCCACCGGTTCACGTGCTCACTGTGCCGTGTGTGTCTGTAACCCCTCCCTCCCCCTCCTGCTCAGTGTAGATACACAGATGCCGCCACACATCTTGACCAATCACGTGGCTTTAACAGGAAAAAACGGGAAAATCTGGAAAAAAAAATCCGGATCTGGCTCCCGTCGTTCACTTCAAAGAGCCGGCTCTTAGACCCGGATCGTTCGCGACCGACCCATCACTAGTTCACATTGATAATAAACTAAGACTAAACTAAGCTAAGAACACTCAAGCCCTCTACAGGAAGGGACAAAGCCGGCTGAGGTCCTTCAACATCTGACAGACAGTGCTGAGCATGTTCTATGAGTCTGTGGTGGCCAGTGCTATCCTGTTTGCTGTTGTCTGCTGGGGCAGCAGGCTGAGGGTAGCGGACACTAAGAGACTCAATAACCTGATCCGCAAGGCCAGTGACATTGTGGGAGTGGAGCTAGACTCTTTGATGGCGGTGTCAGAGAGGTGGATGCTGTCCAAGACTCCTTCCCGAGATGCTCCACAGAGCGGCACAGGAAGTCATTCCTGCCTGTGGCCATCAAACTCTTTAACTCCTTCCTCAGCGTGTCAAAACTCTGAGTCAATCAGTCATTAAACTGGTGCTGTTAATGTGCAATAAGTTGGAGGTGCAATACCTGGGTCAATGTGCAATTCACTTGATTATTATGTAATTTTTTGTAATTATCTATAACTTCTGCAATCCCCAGTCTTAAATGCATTAGTATTTATTTAATTTCTGTCAGCACATACTGTTAAATATGTTTACATTTACATTTACTTTGTATATAGGCTCTAATTATCTTATTATATCTCTTAGGCTCTTATTATAGTTTTATTTTCCATTTTTATTTTTACTTTTACTTTTTGCTATATGTACAGTCAAGCCCGAAATTATTCATACCCCTGGCAAATTTTGACTTAAAGTTACTTTTATTCAACCAGCAAGTTTGGCACAACAACATCAGGTAGTCTGCAGAGAAACTTGGCCTTGGGCACCAGTGGACATTTCAGCACGACAACGACCCAAAACACACAGCAAAAGTGATGAAGAAATGGTTAGCGGACAAAAATATTAACGTTTTGCAGTGGCCCAGCCAGAGTCCTGACTTGAATCCATTTGAGAATCTGTGGAGGGAGCTAAAGATCAGGGCGATGGCAAGGAGACCCTGCAACCTGATGTGACATGCAAAAAGCTGGTCATCAGTTATAGGAAGCATTTGATTGCTGTAATAGCTAATAAAGGCTTTTCTATTGATTATTGAGAAGGGTATGAATAATTTTGGACATGCCACTTTATGTTCAAATGTAAATAAAAGCTGAGAAATATTTTTTTCCACAATGATGCCTCTTGTACGTCATCTTATTATCTTCTGGGAGATGCCTGTGTCATTTCCAATCAAGAAAAAAACTTGCTGGTTGAATAAAAGTAACTTTAAGTCCAAATTTGCCAGAGGTATGAATAATTTTGTGAATAATTTTGACTGTATATACCTATATATTCATTGTTATTCTATATAGTGTGTTAGATATTGTATAGTATACACACTCAGAAAAATTCATCATGGCATAGTTTATTTTTAAGTATTTGCATCTATTTGATTTTATTTAAATAATACAATTTTAAGAATTTATTTATTCAGATTCCTTAAAATCAACATAAATCTGTTAATTCCGAAACCAATAATGCAACTGGTTTGTCAACCGCCTTTGAAATTCAAATTCAGAGTCACTCACTGGAGAAGAAGAAGGACTTTTTCCCGCCGTCTGCACCAATACATCCATGGTCTGCTCTGCTCACACCTTCGCTCAAGCTAGTTGAAGCAACTACTTTATGCGTCTTGCACTGACTGTCAGTTACATGTGCATTTGTCTTAGTATAACCTGCCAGTTATCAGTGTTTGTATGTTATTAGTGCAATTCACATCATATCACACTAATATAAATATATCAAATTTAGCCTACATCATTGTAAACATTCCCGTGTAGTCTAGTAGCTTGCTAACTTCAACCTAGCTAGTGAGCTATTTTTGTTTAGCCAACACAGCTAAGTTTAGAAATTAAAATGACTCATTAGTTCATTTAAAATGAGCGACTGACTCTTGTGCTTAATGAGATATTCTCACAAGCATGTGGGCAGTTAATTCTATTATTATATATTAGCCTTGCACCGCAGACTTCAGGTGACTCTCAGCCAAAGATGGCTCAAGGCAGCCACAGCGGACTTGACCGCCTGCTTCATGTTCAGACAGTGTTGCTCCACTCACTAGCGCAACACGTCCGGTTGAATTTTAACGGTGCCGGTGGTCAGTCGGTGGGAAGGTTGCAGCGCGTGTGACTGTGCATGGTGGAGTATGTTGTTTTTATTAATTTTGCGCGAATGGATTAGAGCAGCCACACTGTTGTGTCATAACAAAGTCTTACTTTCAAGTTATTAAAAACTACATGTGCAAATGATTCAGTGTTAATAAACGTTTGTTATTGGTTGTGAAATTCATTGTGTGGTCACTGCCTCACAATTTTAGAGCAGGTTAACATAATCCATTTCGAATAATGTAAAACAAATATGGGCAACTGTGACTATAAAAACTATTCAAAATACTACTATACTATAAAAACTTTACATGATCAAAAACATAAGCTGATGTAGTAAGTAAATGCATACAATTTTGGTCTAATGGAGGACTACTGTTACTAAAAATATGTAAAAACTGATACTTTGTGATTTCATGAGCAAGGAAGGAGTTGTAGAATTGATTAAATGCATTTTGTTTCTAATTAGAACTTCTTGTCTTTTACAAGTACATAATTCTAAGAACCATCCTCTTACATCAAGTGTATGCTGGGGCAACCTCTTTGTTTTTGTAAGTATAGAGGCTACAAAGATATAGAAAATAGAAAACTCAACATATTACAGTGAAACTCATTTTGATGTTCAGATGAATCAATATAAAAAGCATAAAAATCCATAGCTGAGTTACATGACCCTTTGTCTAAAGGGTGTGCTGGCTGTGTTTAACCATCCAGCTGAAAGACAGTTGTTGATGACTCTACAACTAATACACTGTTTTTTGTCTTTGTTCACAGATATGTGAATGTGTGTAACATTTCATTATCTACCAGGTATGCTCTTTATTTTATAACACTTGTGGGGGATAAGAACTTAACCATGTTAAAATTTTACTCACTAATAATTGTCATCTTTGTGTGTTTGTGTCTTCACTCTAGACTGATAAAGCAGGATGGCAGAACCAGTTAGCTTCAGAGTTCTTTTTTGAGGTGACGACGATGCAAGAAAACTAATCATTCAGTCTGGAATGCCGACATCTGTGGATGAATTGGCTCTTGAAATTAAGACTTTCTTTGGTGTGATGGAGCAGTTCAGGCTTCAATACAAAGATGTAGACTTTGGAAATGATTTTATGAACCTTGTGTCAATTTCTGACATTCAAGATCAAAGTACTTTGAAAGTGGTATGCTTGCCGTGTGAGGCTACCAGCTCAGTGATCTCCTCAGATTCACCCACTACAAACATCTGGTCCACAATACCAGCGACACCATACCATCATTTTGTCATCTCCTGAGTCTCGGTGCTGGTTTTGGCCTCAAGTCTTTGTCGTGCCACGGTTTTCATATTGTGCTGAGAGGGTGCTCCAGAAGGGAAATGATGATTTCAATGCAAATGGAACTCTTCTTTCTCTTACCCCGAAAGTCAGATCTGATATTCTTGACGGCCGTGCAGAAGAAATGATCAGGTACACAGCATATCCAAGGGACTCACTCGTGTTTGCGTGAGAAAGGAACTCGCAATGGTTATTGTGGATGGAAACACTACATTAAGATCAAGATGATGAACTTCTGCACCAAGCTTGGCCGAGCTGGACACCCAGAAGTCATTGTCAACTCACTTAAGAACAAACGGAAAGGTCAGGGGAAACCAGCTGCGAACATAAAGAAGCCCAGGAAGGCAGAGGTTAATTTCTGTCCAAGCCATCCAAGAGGTGAAACGACTGAAAGCCTAGAGGTGGAAAGGGTTGCTCTATTGACTGAGGTAAAGAAAAAGAACAACAAGGCAGTGATCAAGGAAAAAATGCAGCGTACCTTCTCATACAGACGACAAGAAATTCTTCAGGAGCCAATGATTACAGAGGTCCGAAACAGATGGCCAGCACTGTCTGAAGTTGGTGAAGTAATTGTAGGAACCCATTTGCAACAAACACAAACATTGATGCAACTTGCATTCAGTGTTTAAAATCTTTATTACAGTCAGGATATCCTGTCTTTTCTCCTCTCTTTCAGGTCAATATGGATTTCATGCGTATAACAACTGTCCCTCTGATATCAAAATTCATAGGACAACTGGACAGATACACTGATGACCTGATTAAGGTTTTCCGTGCCAAAGGAGGATCTGCAGGACAGAAAATTCGTGCCATAATGGCATTGACAGCTAAAGTAAGTGTGTTTCTGTCATTCTTACTTTCTCTCTCTTCATCCTTGTTCCCTCCTTTCTTTTTTTAATAGTTAAACTGATTTGCAATTTATATTAATTTAATGTAGCAAATATGGGTTTGTGATTTCATAGCCAAACATTCACCACCTTCTGGTTCTTGGAGACCTTTAATGATCTTTGTATTAAAGAAGCTTAATACACACAATCAACATTTTTTCTCTCATGTAAAACATTTATTATACAATAAGAAAGTGCATATTCTAATTTTTTATATTTATTTTTTTAGTGACTCCATCAAACTAATTCAAGTACGGCAGTTTTTCAACTTTACTTAAACTGTAAATCAATGCAGTAGCTAATGTAATTTGCTTTGTGATCTTGTTGGTATGTTTGTTTCAGAAGGAAGACATAAATGTCAAGCGTGACTGTATCCTGAGGAGCCTCAGTGTCTACCTCTATGAAGACATGGAGACACTCATCAAAGAATACCAAGTAAGTGTATGTCAACCTGCTTTCTTTATATCAAAATATGTTACAGATATATTTACATTGGTAGTTGCATTAATTTTCACATATTCATCACAATCTATGTGTGTGTAGTGTGCACTGTAGAGATTAACCTATGCAGCTGTTAGTGTGGAGCATGATGGAACTTATAAGCCAAATGAGAATGGGCATCTACATCATTCGGGTGGATGGTGCTGATCCAGGAGAAGAGATCTATGCAGATGTTGGTGTTGTACTTGAAGGTGTGGAAGTTCTGCAAAACCTACGAAGTGTCACCCTTGGATGTGTGATGCTTTTCGGACTGATTTATGCACTTACCTTAAGCTACCCTAAGGACCTCAAGAGCACATTTGAAGTGTTCCAGAAAATCCTAATGGAACTGGACACGATCAAGCTTTCACCAAAACTCCAAGCACTGAAAATGAAGATGTTCCAGTGATGGGCCTGATACCTGATATGAAGATGTTTCCCTCTGGAAAATGTATAGCAAAGCAACTGCAATTTTCAGTGCTTGTTTGAGTGTTTGCAAATTTTGCAATGTGTTTACAGTTCTTGGTTGTTATTGCTGCAGAATATCTCCATGCACTTGTAATTAAACATGTCAGTGGGGTGGTGCAAAGCCACTCAACCACTTAGCTTTATGGCAGTGTCTTGGATTGATCAGGTAATGGCTCAAATTTCAAAAAATTAATGTCTGGGAATCCTTGAAATGTTGGTGTACTGTAAGCATACAGTTATCCTGCTTGATTTACCTGCCCTGAAGTTTCATACAGTTAAGCAGAGTTCAGAACTCTGCTTTACTGCAGACCATTTGGAAACAGACTTTCTGTCTCCAAATGTTTAACATTTAAAATGATAAAAGCAATTGTACTTATGCTGATTCAGAGACCAAAAGTCCAAAAACTAAAAGTTAATATGTGACTGTGTAATTCACCTGATGCACTGATGTTGCCCTCTGGAGAATACAGTGCAGCAAAGTGGTTGACTTGCTGCAATTTTCAGTACTTGTGAGTTAGCTTTTCCCCACATTTTTGTACTTGTATATTCCTGCACTTTTATTTATCAAAATTTAATATGCATACTTCTGGTTGTGCAAAGCCACCCAGACACTGAGCCTTAAATCAATTATTTGGATTGTCATGTAAACATATGTTAGGGATTCCTTGAAGTGATGGTGTACTGTATATTACTGTTATTCAGGTTGATTTACCGGTCTACTCAAGTATTCCACACTTGTACAGTTGTTGAGGGAGTTTCTTATTGGTGTACTGTTTACAGTATGTATTTGTGTATTAGTGTTGCTTCCAATAAGGCACAGCTGTTCACCTGAGCCTTGTGAAATTGTTTTGCATCCCAGGAAGCTAGAAGCAAGTTCAGCCTTCCCTTGACTTAGTTTAAATGTTTGCATTTGTTAGGCTATTGTGTGGCAAAATAAGTAAAATTTCTCTGCCTAAATGTACACAAATGAGTACATTTTATTTTTATGTTTTTGGTTTATTTTTGTTTGTATTTTGTGCCTGCTGAAATGAGGGCATTTCCTTTTGGTGTTTGTTTTTCTTCTTTTCAACACATGTGAATGAGCACTGGTTCTGTGTCCAAGTATGTCTTGCCAGCTCCTCTTCTATCATACTGAATGATAAGTGTGATGTGTTGCTGCCTTTGAGTTTTTTCAGTGCCCTAACTTGCCACATGCCTTGAGAAGCTTAATAAATAAAATGTTGGTGATCAACAAGCTGATCTGACTGTTTATAATATTGTTATTGTAGATATTACTGTAGGTACAGGCTGAATGAAAAACAAAACAAAATATCTGGTTAAAATTGGGTTTGAATTGGGTTTATTATTTCAAGTACATAAACTTTATGCATTTCATTTAAATTGCATAAAGTGCATAAACCTTTTTCTAAGCATTTCAAATACATTGGAGTAATTCATATTGAATACATACACTCGTTCTTAAGTATTTGAAACAAATTGGCTTTATTAATGATGAATACATAAATCTGTCATTGTTTTTTCAAAACACATTGGGTTTATTAGTATTATTACATAAATCTCATCCTTAATTGTTTCATTTACATTTGACAAATATGCAGCACATAAAGTTTATTGGCCTGTTGCATGTTAAATCTAAGTAATTCAAATGGATGGAAATTTTATATGCAATTGAAAAACATAAATCTTATGAATTAGGCCTAAATATTTCTGTGAGTGCATATATGTACAGTAGTAGCTAGTACTATTTCTTTAACGTTGTGTGAGTAGAACAACTGTAACGAACAAATTTCCCCCTGGGGATCAATAAAGTATTTCTGATTCTGATTGTAATTTCAGTTCTCTGCTACTCTCAACATGAACATAAAGGAAATAAAGTGTTGATGACAGTAAGTTCCATCTTAAAACATCAGATCATATAGGCAAAATGTTAAAATAACATGTCCTGCTGTGTCCTCTGCCCTTGCATTGCTTCTTCAACAAGGTATAATCCTGCACTACAGGGGGTGACTGGCAACCATTGAGTATGATGGACAGAGCTTGCAGGTCTGTAAAGTGAAGCCAACATGGAAGTGTCTTAAACCTGCATTCTATGTAAAGGCCAGCAGGGAGAGCTCCATTAGCTGCAATAAAAACGATACCAGGCACTCTAATAGAGAAATGAGCCAACCTCTCTCTTCATTTATGAGCTCGGTAAACAGTTTCATAATGAGTTAATGGTCTCAATCACTAGTTTCAAGTCTTATTCCATACAGCATAAAGTTCGTATGTAAATTATGTTCAGGCAGTGCTGATCAAATATGAATCAAGATTCTGTTACCGTGTTGCCTATTTCTCACCTAAAATCATTTCACTAACATATTTTAGTGTACTGGGTGGGCAAGCAAGTAAATATGCAGAAGCAAATACAGCTTTGTTTTCCGTTTTATTGGACAACATCAACATATCTGATTCAGTGTGTGTGTGTGTGTGTGTGTGTGTGTGTGTGTGTGTGTCTGGTATGGAGTGTCTGTGCTTCCCCAGAAACCTGATCAGATGAACAGATCAGATGAGAAGCGGTGGGTGGGGCGCAAACCCATGCTGTGGTTGTAACGCGCTGTTAGACAGCTGCAGCTGAGCAGACAGAAGTGGACTGGCTTTGATCCGGGGTATCTATGGCATTTAATTCTTCAAATCACTCCAAATGCCACGACATTGTTGTCGTGGAGTCTGGACAGCCCATCACCTCTGCGGTCATGTTCTCGGCCGGGGTCGTGGGAAACATCGTGGCGCTGGTCCTGCTGGAGGTCCGGCGCAGGATAACCAGTCCGTCCCTGTACCGGGTTCTGGTGACAGCGCTCCTCATGACGGACCTGCTGGGCTCCATCTCCGTCAGTCCTCTGGTAATTACAGCTTATGCTGGGAGGAAGACTTTGGTGGGGATGAGTGCAGGAGGAGAGGTGTGCTCGTACTTTGGGTTCAGCATGACCTTCCTGAGCCTTTCCACGCTGACCTTCCTGTGCGTACTGGCTATGGAGCGCTACATCTCCATAGGTCACCCTTACTTTTACGAGAGGCACATGCTCAAGCGCGGGGGTTACACCACTATTGCTCTGGTCTACACGGGCAGCATACTTTTCTGCGTCTTTCCCTTTCTGGGTTTTGGTAAATACGTGCAGTACTGCCCGGGGACCTGGTGCTTCCTGGAGATGAGCCACGGGGATGGAAAAGATAGCATTTACCTTGGATTTTACGCATCTTTCATCCTCATCGTCACCTCCAGCACGGTGCTGTGTAACATATCTGTCATTTTCCACTTGGTGGTGATGTACAGGAGGCACAAAGCGCGTCGCAGCGGGGTGTCTGCGCACCCCCGGTACCGCAGGTCACTGTCCATGTCGGAGGAAGTGGAGCATCTCCTGCCGCTGACTATTATCACTGCGGTCTTCATCTGCTGCACCTTCCCCTTAGTGGTAAGAGCCCTGCCTCTCAGTGGGGGACATCTGAAAAAACCCATGTTTCTGAAACATCATTCTCCTGGCCTGTATTTGTCTGTACTCTCAATCCAGATTCTACTGATTTACTTTATTATACAACTCTTAAAGTTTCTCTGGGCAAAAACGCCCAGAACCTACCCCTGTGTTTCCCAAAAGACTTTATCAGAGTGCATTACCACAGAACAGGACACTCCCTCTGCCTCTTTTCTAGCAAGTAAACAGGATTTTTTTAAGGACCAACCATTTTTTTCACAATTAGTATTTTAAAGAGTCTACTATCCATGTCTTAGTATGGTCATGCTTTTTAGTTATAGATCCGCTACACAAACTTACAATCTGAATCACTTTCATTGGCCAGGTCTGTGCAGACATACAGGGAATGTGAGTAAACAGGATAAAGGGGGTAAAGGAGAAGCAGGCTTCCACTAAAAATAACATTCAAGAATATGTCAATGATTTGTTTATAACCAGCACTGCAAAGAGGTGCTTCATTTCCAAGGCTCTACAGGATTTTTTTTCTCCCCCTCACACCTTTCTATCAGAACCAGCAATAACCTTTTCAGCAATTTGAGGTACAGTAGCTCGTCTGTTGGATCGGACCACACAGGCCAGCCTTCACTCTTCACCCTGTCCTTGGTTCACTGCTTTCCCTTCCTTGAACCGCATTTGATAGGTACTGATTGGTAATGCTAAATGGTAAATGGACCTGTACTCGTATAGCGCCTTTCTAGTCTTTTACACTATGTGCCACATTCCCCCTTTCACACACTCAGTGATGGCAAAGCCCATCAAATGGAAACTAACTCATTCATACACATTCACACATCTTATTGCATCAACAACACTACAAAATACCTATATACACAGGGTTTAAGCTCAAATAAATGGTTTTGGGGTTTAGTTACTATTTCAGTAACATTTTAAATGCAGAACTTTGCTTTGTGCTATTCTCTTAATAAATCAGAAGATCTGAGTATTTCCATTACAACTCGTAACATTCTCAACTGAACCTTGTTGATGTTAGTGTATATGATGTCTTACTTTGTGCTGCATCTCTAAGGCCTCTGCTGACTATATTTGGTTCCTCTTTTATTACCCCCCGACCCCCAGCTCAGAGTGTACATAAATATCACAGGCTTCCATGAAGAGCACCATGCAGCTGACCTCTACGCTCTCCGTTTTCTGTCGTTCCACTCCATCATCAACCCTTGGGTCTTCATCATTCTCCGCCCCTCCACTCTGAAAATCATCTGGAGGAAGTTGGGTAAACCGAAACCTCAGAAGTCCACATTCCCTTAGTTATGCTGCTATAGGCCTAAACTATCGGGGGATTTCCCATGATGCACTGAGCTCCTCTCTTCCTCTCTCTTTCTGCACTCATCCATGTTCCATTAATGCATGTTACTAACTTCACTTCTTCCCTGGAGTTCTTGTACTTTCTCGTCTTGCAAGTTCTCATGGATCCTGGTGGAGCCTCCTGCCATGGTCCTGCCTGATTGCCATTGCTAATGTCACTGATATTATTCTTCGTTCTTCTTCATGTTCATCATCATGATCAGCATCAGTCACTACTATTAGTGTAGTTGTTAGTGTTGTTACTGTGCACCTTTGTCTCTCCCTGTCTCTCTCTCTCTCTCTCTCTCTCTCTCTCTCTCTCTCTCTCTCTCTCTCTCACCCGACCACCCACCTAGAGCCGGAGGATCTGTCCTAGGTTTCTGCCTTTTAACAGGCAGTTTTTCCTTGCCGCTGTCGCCAAGTGCTTGTTCATGGTGGTACTGTTGGGTCTCTGTAAATAATTTCATAAGGAGTTCCGTCTCCCTGCTCTGTCCTGACATAACTTTTGTTATAAAAAAATAGAAAATAAAAAAATTAAATTGAATTGAATTTTGTTTAATAGTGCTGATATAATTCAGCTGATGTCAGAGGGTAAAGACCTTGAGCATGATGAACCTGTTATAGAGCACAAATTTTGGTCATACTTAAAGGACAATTCCGGCGCAAAATGAACCTGGGGTTAATAACACATGTGTACCGAGTTCGTCCGTTCTCTGCTAATCGAACGGGACCAGTTTTAGCACAAACTGCTAATTACCTTATAACGCTAGTCAATGGGGCACAGAGTAAAGTGAAAAGAAATCGCTATTTCTATACCACTAACGAGGCTCAAAATAGCACCACACTTACACGGTAGCATATGAGGGCCCCTACCTGTAAACCGAAGCATTGAGAACTTTGTAAGTGCACAGACAGTTTATTAAAAAGATAGTTTAGAACAACAGTAGCGTTCACGTATACAGGCGGGCGCTATCTTGGGAAAGCAGTCCCGCGACCTTTCGAACTCTCTGAGATGCGAAGTGAATCTCGCGTGAAACGTTGTTGCCGGAAGAAAGCACTGAGCGCATAAGAGAAGCACTGAACGCAACAGAGACTAGTGCTTCCACAGGATACAACCTAAAGAGATGGCGGATTATTCAACCGAATTTGGAGACGTCGACGAGTGCTTCTCTTGTTTGCCGATGCTGGTGGTTGGCCTTGGCATAGGGATCAAAAGAAAAAAGTCTGCAAACAGTTAAAAGTTTAGAATACAATAAGTAAAAAACAAAATGGATGATAGGACCTTTAGTTGTAATCTTCACTTAACTATGTCACCCTTGGTCTCCAGCCCAGCCTCACCAAAATGGCGCATAAATAACATAACTTTAGACTTCCAAATTCCAAGTCCAAGTTTGTATGCAGGTGTTAGACCAGTCCTTCCCATTGACATCTTTTCCTAATCCTAACCAAGTAGTTTTGGTGCCTAAGCTGTGGCTGTTTCATGTTATTGTGACGACGAAGGTCTCATGACTGCCTAACCAAAATACACAAGTTAAAGGACCAGTGAGTAGGATTCAGTGGCAACTTGCAATTATTGCAACCATCTGAATACAGCTCAGCCTTCCAAGAGTGTAAGAGAAACTACTGTGACCTGGAAACTCACAGCCCATTGTAGAGCCAGTGTTTGTTTTGTCTGTTCTGGGATACTGTAGAAACATGGTGCTTCAACATTGAGGACTATGTAGAAAACAGCTCATTCTAAGGTAAAGAAAACACACTGATTCTTATTTTCAGGTGATTTCCACTAATTAAAACATAGCTTTGAGTATTATATTCTATTTCTGACATTGACCGTCCTAAATGTTATACACTGGATCGTTAACGGGAAGTGTAAAGTTGTGTTATTTGCACAAGAAAAAACTCATTCCCTCATTCCCAGGTCATCGATGCTGGATGCAGGTTTCTCTGGCTCCTCCTAGTGCTCCTAATGGCAATTGCAAGAATCCAGGCTGGTGCCTTGACGATAATGGATTGTTGAGTTTCATTCCCAGCATCAATATTTGATGACCTGGGAATGAGGCTCAACAATTAGCTATCTTTCTTGGCTCTGATTGGTTGTTTTTGTTCAGGCCCGGTAGATTCCTGCAAATTAGGAGCACTAGGAGCAGCCAGAGGTACCTGTTGTTACAGATTATCCGTCTGGTGTACTACTGTCAGGATATAGTGAAAGTTTCAGCAAATATGACATGTTATTTTTTATAAAAGTTACCTATTGTAGCTTTAAGAGCGGCAGGCAGGGACAGGGATAGTTTTGAAGTGGGCTTCTATGAGATACTTATCCATATTTATTACCTACAGTAGATGGATGATGGTGTACTTGCTCATCCATGCCAAGTTATTATCAATTACCGAAGGTAATTTTTGATCTTGTGCAGGTCTAAAGATTTGCTCTACTGTTCAACCCTCCCTGAGAGCTTTGCAAAGTTGGGAAATGTTGCTTTTGTAAATTTATAAAAGCCCAAACTTGACTTGAAATTGGCTTTAGTTTTAGAACTTAAATGGGATGTTTACCAGCTGCAGAGATATATTCTTTGCTATAAAAGAAAAGCAGATAGTGAACTGTCACACTAGAGGCATGTAAACAATAAAAGGTCACTTCCTGTTGTGTTACGTGGGGCTGGGATATAGTAGGTTATGGTGCAACAATAAGAATAGCTGTCAGATGTGGTACAGAGGGGAACTTCCTGCCACTTCTGAAGTTCCATTTAATGATGGCAAATAGACAATGACATTGTCTGAGGCAGGCCACTCATCCAGAAACAACCGGCAGATGTGCTCTATCTGTGAGGTCTGAGTTTAAGGGTGGCTGGTATCTCTGATAAGTGCCCTTCAGAAATGTTGTAAGCTCACACAAGTAAATGCATAATGTATAGGGAATATTGCTGAGTCAGAGTATAGGCCAGCATTTCTGTCACTGTCACCATAATACATTACTCACCAGCTTTATAGTGTGCTACACGAATGAGTCGCTAAAACACACAAGCGGCGCTCCTAGCACAGACAGGAGGCATTGCACTGCGGCACATCAATCTCCCAGAGCTGGTCAGGCGTGTGGTAACAGCAGATCTAAATCGATGATAAATAATCCTTTGCTATTACTGCCCAGTGCAAGTTACAACAGCAAGTGTCATAGTCTTCTAATGTAGCAGGATGTAACCTGAATGTTTTCAACTGTTTACTTTTTTCATACTAAAACTGATAGAACTATATCAAATGTAATGTATCAACAACAACAACAACAACAACAACAACAGCAATAATAATATTGAACATTATTCATGTAGCACTTTTCTTAACAATGTTACATGGTGCTGTCCAAAGGGGAAAAAAACGTGCAAAGCAGAAAGGTTTAGAGTTTTAAGAAGAGATTTAGAAGAACCAAGAGATGTAGTGTGTCTCAGCTGACTAGACAGTGAGTTCCATAGTGTGGTTGCTCTAATGGCAGCAGCCAGATTGTCGTCTGTCACACAGCGTGACCTGGGAGTGACCAGCAGGGCTGCATCTGCAGATCTCAGGGGTCGTGGGGGCACATACAATGATAATAAATCACAGTTATACGTGGGTGCAAGTCCGTTTAAGGCTTTAAAAGTTAGTAATATAATTTTATAATAAAAATACTAATTAACTAAAGGGAGCCAATGTAGGGAGGCCAGCACTGGAATGATCCGTTAGAATTTCCTTGTCCTAGTACCAGCAGGAGATGGTGGAGGGAGCCCAGGGTGATACTTGGGTAAAGTCCATTACAGTAATTAAGTCTAGAATAAATAAAAGCATTTACCACTTTTTGCAGATCACCAGAGGATAAAACTGACCTAATTTTGGCAATAGTCTTAAACTGGATAAAACATGACTGAACAACATTTTGACTTGGTTTGCAAAGCAGAGATTTGCAGGAAATATTATATATTATATATATAAATATAAGATTCCTAGTAGCCTGCTTAATAATAACTTAACTGCCGTCACTATAGCCAGACAGTAGCATTGGTATTTGACAAACTGGGAATGACACTCAACACTCAATTATCTTTCTACGATCTGATTGGTTGTTTTTGTTCAGGCATGGTGGATTTTCCATGAAGAAAAATAGGAGGAGCCAGAGCAACTCTATTTTGTTCACAGATTATCTGTCTCATGTACTACTGTCAGGATATAATAAAAGTTCCAGCAAATATGACAAAAAGTTATTTTCATAAAAGTTACCTACTGCAGCTTTAATGAATCCTGAAGTGGGTGTTCCTTATCTTTAGCAATTTATCTACTTTCAGTAAAATCATTGGTTACAAAAAAGTTAACTAAATTGACTAAATCGCAGCGAGTGGCAGGCTTTTCAGCAGCCCTTTGTCAATCTATCTATCTATCTATCTATCTATCTATCTATCTATCTATCTATCTATCTATCTTTCTATCTATCTATCTATCTATCTATCTATCTATCTATCTATCTATCTATCTGTCTGTCTGTCTGTCTGTCTGTCTGTCTGTCTGTCTGTCTGTCTATCTCTATCTATCTATCTATTTGAGGTTATGAAAAACACAGATTATCAAAAAGCATTTGTTCAGGCCCACTCAGTTTGGAGTTCTGGGTCAGTATATAAAAATTAGAGAGGGTACTGGCATATTAGCAGACCACAAATCACTCAATTCTGCCTCCCTCTGGCTAAACTTAGAGCGTACACCGATCAGCCATAACATTATGAGCACTGACAGGTAAAGTGAATAACACTGATTACCTGGTTATCATGGCACCTGTCAGTGGGTGGGATATATTATGCAGCAAGTGAACATTTTCCTCAAAGTTGATGTGTAAGAAACAGGAAAATTTGAAACTTTGACAAGGGCCATGTTGTGATGGCTAGACGACTGGGTCAATTCAATTCAATTCAATTCAGTTTTATTTGTATAGCACCAATTCACAACAGAAG